AAAGTATTTTATTTTGATTTAGTTACTCCATAGTTATTCTCTTACACTATTAAAATTATTTTGGCTAATTCATAGTTTATATAACTCCAATCTGATTATTTAACTGGTTCACAGTTATATTATTATTCTCCTGTAAAGTTTCTTCCACTTCCTCCTAATTTTATTTTTTAGCTGATTCACATCTTGATCTGCTGCTTTCCAGCAAGGCTTACCTCCACTCCTGACCTTACATTATTTTGGCTGGTTCACAGTATGATTTTAACTACACACCAACCTTATCTCCTTTACTCCTCCTATATTTATTTTATAACTGGTTTGCAACTTAAATAGTTGCTTTCCAGCAGTGCTTTCCTCCGCTCCCACCTTTATTTTTAACTGGTTCACAATTATATTTCAATTGATCCCCAGGTATAGTCTCCTACCTTTTTATTTTTAACTGGTTCACAGTTCATATAAACTGTTACCCAGCAATTGTTTTTATTCAATGTTTACATTTTTTAAATCTTAAAAGTTACACTTTTACAGTTTTCCAATACCGGCATTTTTAGTAATATCCAATTTATCTTTCAGCCAACTATATACATACACATTTTGTTTGTTACATACTTATTCATATAATTAATACATTTTATATACATACCTACTACACATTAAATATAACATTTCATTATAATATCATCTCTTTTGCTATACACTATCCATTAATTTTAGATTCCTTTTCCAGCCAATCATACCATCTGTTCCATGTTTCATAATAAATTGTTTCCTCTCTGTCCTTAAGTTCCATCATTAATTTGTCTGCTTCTGCACACTCCAGCACCTTTTTTATAATCATCGTGTTTGTTGGAGCATGTTGTTGTTTCCAGTTTTGGACAAATGAGATTCTAGTGGCTGTAATTATGTGGAGTATGAGGTATTGAATTTCTTCAGTCATTTTTTGTTTTATAATCCCTAACAAAAATAATTCAGGATTCATATCAATTTTTTTCCCAGTCATTTCCTCCAATTTTTTTTAAATTTTAAGCCAATATTCTCTTGCTTTGGGACATGTCCACCACATGTTGTAGTATGTCCCTTGTGAATAATTACATTTCCAACAGTGCGGTGGATTGTTTGGAGACATCTTGGCCAATCTCACCGGGGGTAAATGCCACCTATAAAACATTTTATAAATATTTTCTTTGTAGGTGGCTGACAACTTCATTTTATAATTGGTGATCTGTCCCCATCCATACACACACACACAAACACAGCCAGCCGAGGGTTAAGGAAGCACTTGGCACACACCCAGGTCTTTATCTCCAACTTGGCAGCGATATACACACCATCTGCCAAGTGCTTTTATTTCCATAGAAACAGAAAGATAATATACTCAGTGTACAAGAGTCCAACAGAATTAATATTCCTCTCAACAGTTTCGGACGAGGCTTTAGTGACTATCCAAGGTTTATTTTTGTTCGTCACAGGGATCACTGGCCACCACCCTCTATTATATAGTCTCTGGGGTGTGGTCCAGTGACTCAGTTCTAATCCCTAGCACGCCTCCTGAGCTGCTGCAATCGTTTATCATGCCTTCGGAGGCGTGCATCCAGGAATGACGTCTCTCCCTCACTCTCATCCGAGACACCTGTCATCTCCTCTCCCTCGGCCGGCTCCTGAGACAGTGCCATAGGGGAGGGGCCTGGAGAGGGAGGCCTGGCTGACTCCTCTTCCTCATGCTCGGAGTTTTCTTCCTCCGATGGGACAGGCTCAGAGGGCGGGGCCACAACAATTTGTTCCCCATATTTTTTCCCAGTAGTCCAATTCTATGTTGTATCCAAAATTTTTCATCCAAATTATCATTGTTTCCTTCACTGTTTCCTCTTCCATTTTAAATTTGAGGAGACAGTTATACGTTTTGGTAATTATCTTTTCATCTGTCTCTGTTAATATTTTATCTATTTCTTGTTGTCCATTTTGAAAACCATATAATTCTAAGTCTTTTTTGTATTTTGTTTGGATCTGTAAATAATCAATTTTAATTCCTTCTTCTAATAGTTCTTGTTTGGATTTCATATTTCCTTGTCCATTTAGCAACTCTTTATAGGTTACTATTTTGTTTAAGTCAATTAAATTGGGGTAGACCAAGGCTTCCATCATCGATATCCATCTTGGTACTTTTGTGTAAAAATTTCTTTTAATCTTCATCCAAATTTCTAGCAATACTTCTCTCACCTGATGTCTTTGGAAATATGTGTGGGCTTTATTCTTTCCCTCCCAAATAAAGGCATGCCAACCAGGGGTGAAATGTTCTCAGTTCGGACCAGATCGCCCGATCCGGTAGTGATGGAGGCGGGTGGTTCGGAGAACCGGTAGCAAAAATCCCTGCCCCCCCCCCATTGCCCAGCTGAGCTGCACAATCATCAGAGGCTTTTTAAAATTATTTTTAAAAGCATTTTTTCTACAAACTCTTTGGCCAAAAAAAATGCTTTTAAAAGTAAAAAAAAAAAAAGCCGCTGATGATTGCGCAGCTCAGCTGGGATCATCAGAGGCTTTTAAAAACATTTTTTCTACAACCTCTTCGGCCGAAGAAGTTATAGAAAAAATGTTTTTAAAAGGAAAAGAAGCCTCTGACGATCAGGCAAATCAGCTGGGATCATCAGAGGCTTTTTTTAAAAAAAGAAAGCCTCTGCTGATCAGGCAAGTCAGCTGGGATTGTCAGAGGCTTGTAAAAGCATTTTTTTAATAACCTCTTCAGCTGAAGAGGTTGTAGAAAAAATGGTTTTAACAGTAAAAAAAAAAAAGTTGGCCACGCCCACTCAGTCATATTACCCACCACCACCAAGCCACGCCCACAGAACTGGTAGTAACAAATTTTATATTTCACCACTGATGCCAACCCCTCTGTAAATCATGCCCTTCAATCGTTAGAATTCTTCCATTTTTTAAATTTATCCATTCTTTGAACCATGATATTAGTGCAGCCTGATGGTAAAGTTTCCAGTCTGGGAGACCAAAGCCACCCTTATTTCTAGAGTCTTGTAAGAGTTTTAATTTAATTCTGGGCTTTTCCCCCAACCATATAAACTTACTAATCGTTTTATTCAATTTTTTGAAAAAGTTTTTCCCCAATTTTATAGGTACTGTTGAAATAAATATAAGATTTTTGGTAGGATATTCATCTTTATAGTAGCAATTCTTCCAATCAATGTTATTTGTAATTTTGCCCAACTCTCTAAATCTTTTTGAATTTGCTGCAGTAGCTTCAAATAATTATCTTCCTTTATTGAAGATATTCTTGCCATTATCCAAATACCCAGATACTTCACTTTTTTTACAATTTGAATTCTTAATTTCTTCTCTAATTTCTTATTTTGGCCTTTCGTAAGATTTTTGGTGAGTATCTTCGTTTTATTTTTTTTTATTTTTAAGACCGCGATTATGCCAAATTTTTCTGTTTCCTGTAGTAGGACTTCTCCTGTCTCCAAACACCATATGATCCGCAAAGGCCTATGTTATATATTCCTCTTTCTTAATTTTTAACCCTTTTAATTTCTTGTTTCCCCTTATCTGAGCCAATAGAACTTTTAATGAAAGAATGAGCACTTCATTTATTAACTGCATAAACTCTGCTGGGGGGCCCTGCAGCCCGAAAGGCATTACTTTGAATTGAAAGCTTCCTAGGGAGCAGTTGAAAGCTGCTTTCCATTCACCTCCCTCGTTGATTCAGACTCAGTAATATGCTTCTCTGAGGTCTAGTTTAGTAAAGACCTTTCTTTGGCTAGGTGGAACAACATGTCCTTCATGAGAGGGAGGGGGTATAGGTTGTGCACACACACGCTGTTAATCCCATGAAATCCATGCATAATTTCATAGTCCCACCTTTTTTTTCTTTAAATAGGACTGGGCTTGCAATTTGTGGCTTGGTCGGCTCAATGAACCCTCTTGCTAGGTTTTTGTCTATTTATTTGCACATTTCTTGCATTTCCCAAGGCGCCATGGCATACAGTTTGAGTTTGGGAAGCTTAGCCCCGGGGATTACTTTGATGGCACAGTCCGTTGCGCAGTGGGGGGGGTAGGACATTGCATTCGGTTTCACTGAACACTTCAGTGAAGTTCTAATATTCTCCAGGGATCCGTTCAGCCTCTGGGGTTTGCTCAGAGGTAGCTGCCAGTTGTTTTGGTGGCGCTCTAGGGGGGGATTCCTGTGTGGGTGATGCCTCTATTTGCTGGTGCGAAGGGGGTTGCTAATCTCAGCCTCCGGTTGCCTCCTTGCCACCAGATGGTCGGGCCTCACTTGTCTAGCCAAGAGAGCCCTAGTATGACAGTCTCTGTCATTTTTGGAGCTATTACGAATTGAATTGATTCCCAGCAGTCCACTAGCTCTAGCCTCACTGGTTCAGTCAGGTGGGTGGCATGGATTCCCCGCAATAGGGACCCGTTGTCCTGTTTGAATTTAATTGGGTGGGCCAATTTCTTCATTCTGATCCCTAATTTCAAGACCATGGGTAAATTAATCAAACATCTAGTGCAACCTGAGTCTATTATGGCTTCAAAAGTGCCCTGGGTCCCTGTTTTTGGGGCTGTGAGATGTATCAGGAAGACGAAAGGGTGAATAGGTTCACTCACCATCAGGTCGTTTCCCCCCTCATCCTCACTGTCATAGGGTTCCGGTGATTGGTCGTTGTTAGCTGAAGTTCCCCCCCTTTGGCTGGGTGGGGAGGGACCTCTACAGCCTGGAGGGCGTTTTGGGATTTGTGAGCGGCATGCCTGGGGTCTCATTCAGGTTGCGCCCTGGGTGGTGGCTCTGGCTTGGGTTTTGGAGCTGGAGTTGCACAGTGGCCTATCCCTCTGCATTTGTAGCATTTCAACTGGCCTCGGGGGAGGGTTGGTCTTGGGGCCAGCTGAGTTACTGCAGCATCCCATCAGCTGGGTGGTCTCCAATCTGGTTGTCCTCTCTCTCTGGGACCCGGTTGCCTCTGCATGTCATTTGTGCACAAACCTCAGTTTTCTCTCTACAGCTCTCACAGGCTGGCGATATCATCTTGGAAGTATATCTGGAGCAGAGGAATCCTGACTATTGTGTTACTCTTAAGGTAAGCAATGGAGTGTCTTTGTGCAAATTGCCCAAGGGCACTCTTGGATGGAGAAAAGAGGTTCACAACTATCACTAAGGCATCACTGATTTTTATGACAAAAAGGTATTAATATATACACTGTACAATGGATTGACTGAAAATTAGAATTCTATTTCTTAATTACCCTACAGGTTTCTCCCAAAATGAGAGCAGAAGAACTAACAAATCAAGTGCTTAAGATGAGAAATGTAACAGCTAGCCGAGATCTTTGGCTGACCTTTGAAGTTTTAGAAAATGGAGAGCTAGGTCAGTAAAAACACTTTGTTTCTTTTTTCTCTGTATAAAGTTAAGGCTGTATGATTATCGCATATTTTATTTTTAAAGCAGCCCTTTTCCCTTCCCACCCTGCACTAGGCTAGCTAGCACTGAGGGAGTGGGAGCAGCTCTCTGCCGGTTTGAAATCTGAGCTAAGATTACTGGCAGGGAGGAAAATGGGCTGCCTTTGCTGGTGAATTAAGCTTTTCTTCACAAAGTACAGGTGTCCATGGATTCCACAAGTGGCCATTATTTTCCAAGCCTGTTCAGCTGCAAACTGCTTCATTGCTAGACTGCACAGGTGACTGAGTTGAAGCAATTTGCAGCTCAGAAAAAGATGCATTTTGTGGGATTATGCCATGTGGCCTAGCAACAGAATGGCTTGTTCTCTTTCCCTTCCCCCACCTCTTAGGCTCTGGAAATCTTTGGAAGATAAGCGAGCAATTGTGAGGGGGTTGTGGGAAGAGGCCTGTGGAACCCTGTCAGGTGGAACCCTATCAGGTGGAAAAGATCCCTGTGGGGATCTGGCAGCGCAGAATGGGGCAGGAACTAGTTGGGTGGGCACACTGCAGCATCTTTACAATTGGTCATAAGGGCAAATGACATGGGAGCACTGTAGGCTTTGCAACTTTGAAACAGGGTTGTATGTAGTGTTTGGGAGGTCTGTTGGCAACTTTGAATGGTTGTTAAATGATCTGTCATACCTCAAAGTATGAAAGCTATGGGCTATAAAGTAACTTACATTTGATAGCCAGCATTTTAAATTACATCCTAAAGCCTACCAGCAGCAAGTATACCTTCTACAACAGCAGTCCCCAGCTTGGTGGTTCTGGCTGGAGTTGGGGAAGAGGGGAACTGGGCCATGCAAGTGGCAGGCTGGCATGCAGAAGCGCAGCTCAACTTGCATGAGTGGTGAGCTGGTGCGCATGCAAGTTGAGCTGCATGTGCATGCATACGAGCCTGCTGCTTGCACAAGTTGAACTGCATGCGCATGCATGCACACTGACCCACCATTCACATGGTCCGGTTGTGAATAGGTCACAGCCTGGTTGTTTGCCGCAACCCAGAGTTGGGGACCCCTGTTCTACAATGTAACTACCATTCTGCTAAACTGGCTTCTACAATCAACAGCTGCTATTTGCTCCAGTTGTAGCTTCCAAGACATCAACAACAACAGCTTCATGTAGAACAAAACATAATGATGTAACCAAGAGAGAACAAAGAAATGAATCACTGTGTAATGTAGGTAGGATTCTGCTTTAATGGGATCATGAATCCAAGAAAAGCCCCAGATATTGCATCTTCTTTTTTAAAAAAGTTTTTTTAATAAAAATATAAAATCAATGCGTGAACAGTGTGGCACCTGGGTGTCATACATTCTAATACAAATAAAACTAATCAGGTTAATCATAATCATTACATTCAATCCGCTTATGTATTTCTCATAATAATACACACTTGTATTACGTTATAGTCTATCATTGTTCAATTATTCCATGTTTTCTCTTATTACTTTCACTTTATGATATAAAAATGCATACACTAATATTCCCCCTTCTCTTATTTCTATCACTTATTCGAGCTTTTAATCATATCACCCTTTATTAAGAAACTTTTCCTTTCTTTCCTATCTAATTTCTAATCATGTCACCTACCTAAAAAAAGAAAAAAAAGGAAAAGAGAGAGAGAGAAAAGGAAAAGCAACCCAGAACAACAACAAAAAAGAGAAATCATCCATCCATCATCTCTTGTCTGCTTCAATACTTTAATTGCTATGCTTTTTTTTTTTCTTGCCTCCCAAATTCCCCTCTTAAATGTTTGTCTCTGTCTATGTCTGCTTTTGGATGTTCAAACTAGGTATTCCTCCCACCTGTACTCTCTTCCACTGCCTAATTTCTAACATTTCTACCCAGGCCCCTGTCTTCCCACTCTCTTAATATATTTTCCCCCTGGTTTAATTCATCAGTCACTATTATTTTCATTGTTGTCTCCTCTTTGTCTTCTTCCTTCTTCATTTCTTCTGTTGACTCCTCCTTTTCCTAAGCATCTTGGTCTATGCTCATCATTCCTCGTATGGTATTTTCCATTTTTTCCATAATCTCCTTAAATCTTTTCTCCATGTCTTTTGTATTTTGAAAAAGTAAGTCGACTTCCTGTTGGCTCCGCGAGCCTCGAAGACACTCCTTTATGAGCGCCCGATCCCTTGTTCCATAAAAGCCCCAGAACAGCCGAAAAACAGCTATCTGGAGGCTTGGAACCCTCTCCCCGGGCAAAGGGGAGAGAGAAGAGTCGACAGGCGGAGGTAGAGCCCCCCAAGTGTGCTAGGAGAAATCCTGGGGTGCGAAGGATGTGGGCTCCCTATTGAAGCCTGTCAAGCTGGTCCGGACCAGGGACGACTCCACTAAAGCAGAGCTAGAAGCCGCGACAAAAATCTGCTGAAAATAAATGAGGGGACTTTTAACATCCTTACCTTGATTGCAGACAGAGCAAACCAGGAGAAAAAAGAAAAAAAATTGTAAGTAACACTTTAACTCCATTTTAAAATGCAGAAAATGGCGTCTGAGAGCGGGAGGAGGAAGCTACTAGGGAAAGTGATTGTTAATGCTTGTTAACATTTGCAACAGTGATACAGCTACTGGATTACCCCTTAAGAGAAAGTTTTAAAGTAGAAGCAGCCAGGAAAAGGATTTGGCACCAAGGGAAAGAATTTGGTACTGACTTTAATTAAAAGTTTGCCTTTATACTGTTGTGGATTTAATAAGACAAACACAACTTTTGGATTAATCAGAGACAATTTGTATATTGCGCAATAGGTTCAAAGCTCTGTACATGAAGCATTGAACAAAGACAGAAATTAGGTACAATGGTTTTATACCCTTCTAGACAAAGGATTCTGTTAACTCAGCAATTCATATGGTCATATACATTTGTCATTTTTAATTGACATTTCCTAATTACTGAGTTTCTTTGCAAAACAGTTATAATTCTTTTTGTAGATTACTGAAGCATAAACTCAAATCATCTTCTGACGATAGACAACTTTTAACTCATGTGGATCCCCTTGACCTAACCAACCTTTAAGCTGTATGTCATTAGAATGTTCCTTTCTTCTGACAACTTAGAGGCCTCCTAGAGGTACCAAAAGGATTTTGGCTGAGTTTGTACTTTTTCCAACCGGATGCATTGCTTTTTAGAATAGAGTGAATAGAAAGTTATCCAGTGGTCATCTATCAGAGCCCGCTTCATTTACATTATTCCCCCCTCTGAAAGTTTTTCAATGCAGAAACTTTCACTATTCTCTTATAAGTTTAACTTCTGAGTATAAAAGGTTCCAATAAACAAATCTACCATATATAGGGTCTAACAAAATATAATTAATAAAAGTAAAGGATAGGTAGTTCTTGATTGTTTTTTTACTCTCTTGATTCTTGGGGAGATTCTCTACCTCTTTCTACAAGTTCCATTTCCTCATATGGGTCTGCCTCAGAATCTTTATGTTCTTCCACAGGATAGGGACCAAGTTGATTAAGAAAATGTTCTGTCAAAGCTAGTTCCTTTTCAACTTGAATCTCCTTTACTGCTCTTATTGATAGCTGTTTCAGCATAGGGATTGCACAAGGAATAAAAGCTAGGCCTGCCACAGCCATATTAATTCACCCGGATCCAGGCAACCAAGAAAACCACATGTCAGTTGTTTATAACCTCTGACCTATCTTGGAAGCCCTATCCTGCAATTCCTTGGCAATTTCTCTGACCACACCTGATTCGTTACATGTTCCTGTCCAGTTTGTTGGTAAACACAAATATGCATCCTTTCCACATAAGAAGATTTATGGAAAAGGCATGCACTCAGTAGTTCCTTGCATTAGTCCAGACCCCTAAGTCCCTGCCACAAACATTCCTGCCAGTGGTTGCAATGGGACTTCCAGTGAGGGGTCCTTCTGTTTATCTCTGAGAATTGGTCCTTCAAAAACATATCGAGAGATAATATTTCCAGGTGGAAAAAGGATACACAAACCTGATTTGGACTTTAAGTTGAACCAGAGTGGAAATTCTGAAGGTTGAAATGGTCTTGGACAGATTCCATCCACCCCACTTTCCCTTCTTAAAGTTTATTTCTGGTAGCCTTTGTTCTAACCCAGAGTTGTGGTTTGACAGGAACAGCATGATAAGATGCAGGGCTAGCAGATAAACATAAGCAGCATTTCTGACCTAGGGTAGGATCATACTGTTTAACAAGATCTTGACTTTATTCCAAAATCCGTGATATATAGTCTCCTCTATGCAATTGTTGTAGAGGCCCATTTTCCTTATCTATTCCCCCCTCAGCTGGGAATGTCAATAGTGCAACCTTAGGTGGTGGAGTTGACTTAGGTCTAAAGTAAGAACCCCGTGCATAGACAATGCATTTTTGGTGGGAGCGAACTTGACCTAAAGTGTCTCTACTTGCGGAATCAATGTTCATTTTATGTTCACTTGAGAGTCCTAGTGCAAATAATGTCCAAAGCCATAAACAAATCATAATCAACTATGGTGTGAAGCTCACTACGTCAGGGAGAGGGTTAGTGGTGCATGTGGTTTGGGATATAGCAGTAGCAAGAAAAATCCTAGGTCTATCACAAAAACGTTCCTTATATATGTAAAACAAAATTACTAGCAAGATTAGAAAAACAAGTACCCACAAAACGCACTCCCAAACTCCTAATAACATTAGCATGTGTAAGAAAGTGTTATATTAAAGCTAAGAAAATGTATATGTGCAATGTGAAGGTAGTTTCCTCCTGATGAATCTTCTGCCGTGCGCTGGGAATCAGCTTCCGGAGTGATTTGGCAGGGCTGTTGATCACCACCGTGCGTAGAGAGCCCGTTGCCAGTAGGACTCAGCAGGGTGTATTCTTCTTAAACTTCCGTGCCAATGGCCTGTCAGTTTTTTGTTACCTGGTATCAGTCTCATCCAGTGGATCCAGGATCGTCCTCCTAAGATCTTAAAA